GTGTGGAAAATCGTGGAACTCGACTATACTGAGGTATAGTCATATGAGAGCACTTTGATTTCGGTAGATGTCAACTTTTTTCACTTTTACTTTCGTTACAAGCTTCATAATGTTTAGTTTTTGGCACTAGCTGATAGCTGAAGTTTTTCTGACCCTAAACATGGGCTTGACAGTGGAAAAACAAAGCAAATGAACGCGAACTGGCATTTCAAGTCCAGGGCAATGATAGTCGGTAGTTTCCAGGCCGTTTTCTAAACACTTGTTTCTCCACATCGCTTCAGGTTTTAGCAACCATTCATACACGATTAGATGACCCCATTATGGAAGTATACTTGTCAACAACCGACATATTCAAATCTTTACTTTCGATTTTTCACCTAATGTCCGCCTGGATGCCCACTGTGTATAGTGCTGAAATGTCTGATCCAAATTTTTCTAACTTATTGAAATGGAAATATAGTTTAACAAATCATAATTCGCTTCCAATATATAAACTTGTCAAATCAAATAAGAAGAAAATATCGTATCAAGACTCAGATATTTCGTTTTTAGAAAATATTAAAACAATTCAATATGGCAACTCGACTGAAGACCTAGTATCATTTATAAAGAATCTTAAATCAGCTACCATATTTCTCTATGAGAATTTATCACTAACAGAAGAAAAACAATATATTTTTAAAAAATATCTGAACTAACTTATTCAGGAATATGGGCATATATCAATTTTTGGATATTCCAAAGATAATATGAGTTTGCCTGTACAAAGAGTTTATGTAGAATTAAAATTTGATCCAACTCATCCATCTATCAAAGCAATGAAAATGCTTGGAATTTCTGAAGAATTTAAACGTAAACTTTTTCATATGATTTTTTCAATGAAAATAAAACGAAAAAAATTAACAGAGCTATTATTGAAAGAAGTACAGAGAATTCTGATACTTTTTACAGAAATTTTATGACCGAATAATGTTTGAATGTATTATTAGCTAACAGAAGTATATTTACGGAAAGTGAAGCAAGTTCAATTAAAAATAAGGTGAATGGATTAAGAAAATATATTCTGGAAAAATCAAATGTTAAAGAAGCGAAACAATATCAAATTCAACAAGCATACAGTGACCTAAACACATAATCTTAGGTCATCGTGGTTCAGGTAAAACAACTCTATCGAAACTATCGAAATGGTTAATAATGAACATGGCTAGGCAACGTTTAGGTGAGGAAAATAACTTATTTAACAGTATTTATTCTTTTAAAACAAGACTACCAATTCTTATTCCAATTTGGAAATATGTTGAACAAATGAAAGAAAATCAGAACAATAACAATAAAAAAACTTTTTACTTCAGTTTATTTACAAAAATCCTACGCTTGATCCAAACTTTTTTAAAGATGAAGAGGAAAGAAAAGTGCTATCGTCGATGATCATCGAATCATTAATACAAGGAGATGTTTTAGTTATTTTTGAAGGATTAGATGAGGTTCCTGTTCATATGGATCGATCTGAATTAATAAAAGAAATAAATGCTTTACTCGAACGACCATTAGATTATGATGAAAAGGCGAACAAGCTTTTTTATTCAGTTTATGAACAAAAGGAAAGCTGTGGTACTGAAGATCCAGATGCTGGCAATCCATTTATTATAACAAGTCGTATTGAAGGAAATTATTTTGATGAAATAAATTTTTATATTCCAAGATTAACTATAGAAGATATGTCTAATGATGCTCTAAGATCGTTTTGTAGTTCCTACATGGAATGTATAAAAGAAATTTCTCTTAAAAACGGAAGATTTATCAGAGAATACAAGAGTGATCAATTATATAACGATATTACGAAAAATAAAGATATTTTCCAATTGGCAATTAATCCACAGTTGGCCAATGTAATTGCTGCGATTTATAATCAGTACGGAGATAAATTATCGGAGAAAAGAATTGAAGAAGTGCTTGGACTGAATACGACTATGATATGGTCAATAATGCAAGAACTCGTTGAATATCTACACAGTAAAGCTGAAGGATTAACAGAAGATATTTTAAGAGAAATAATTAGAAAATGTCTAGTAGGTATTCAGAGTCAGTCACTTATGAGTTCTGAAATAAAAGTTGAGAATTTGATTTGAACACTTGTTGACATTTTTAAAGTACAGACAGGTCTGTTAAATGAATTTGGTCATATTTCGATTTATACATCGTACATTTCAAGAATATCTTGCAGCTAAAAGTATTATCTACTTTTACGGAAGAGAATGAATCATGAAGATATGATTTATAAAAATATTAAAAATAAAATTGCTATTCCAAATTGGAGAGTTCCTCTCAGTATGACATTGGGAATATTGAGTAAATCAATTAATAGTGAATTATTTAGTAATATTATTACAAGATTGTTGACATACAGAAAAAGAAAAAGAAGACTTACACGCTAGAATTCTACTGTGTAACAGAGAAAAAACTTTAGAAAGAAAAAATATTTCTTTTGAAAAGAAAAGAAATGATTTTTGTCATAGTTCTAATA